GTCGCTTGACAGATGCAGCGATGCAATCGGCACCTGGCAACTGGCACATCAAGTGGCGGTGCTGCACACTACAGCCGCAACAGGTGTTGACATTACCGGCTTTCCTGTGTTGAAACTCTCCACACACCGGCGGACGAAGAACGCTTGGCGAGAAAAGTCGGCATAGATCGAGAACGATTTCGTGCCCGCCGCCATAGCAAGTGGTCCACGTTGATATCGAGTCGATCACCACTCTTAGGGAAGCGGGGCTTAGCGATGCGAGACTTAGTCGTGCACAATGTTCATTAATCTGGCAAGAGCAAACAAGAAACTGGATCTGTTGATAAGGACGTTGCAAACCGGTTGAAATATCATAGACATAATCAGGTTGCAAATAGTAGGGTACACAGTATCAACTAGGTGCACTCATTGCAAGACATCGTTCGAACGCCCCATCATTACTAGAATGCTTGTGTAATTGCATGCAGCGTGGCATGGTCAGACCATACGTAGATCGCATTGAGCGTTTACAACGCATGTTTCTGATCCGGCTTTCAGCACACACTAACTGCGCCTCACGATCATTAACCGACATCAGCTTGCTTTTGACGCACTTTCTTTCTGGCTGCCAGACACATGAAGGACAGCTTCGTATTTTTAGCTTGTATCTTCCAGCACCAACCTGACTCACTACTCCCACAGTCATGCCATGGTCGGGCTGTCTCAGCCTGCCCATGCAGGTGCCGCGGTCTACTTGTATCACCACTGTGTCTCCATTGTGTCACCATTCACCTTTGTATGACACCTGGTGTTTATGAAAAAAGCAAGCGTGTCAGGACGCATGTCACGACCATGACTGTGGTGATGTACCCGAAGCGTTAGAGATGTCTCGGTACCCCAGCTGCTTGAATTGAATGCCCACTGTTTTTCTAGGTTTGTAATATCTTGGGGTGCTTTATTCACTGCATTCCACCCCATTTTATTGAGGACACATCTTGCCAGGAAGTGGGACTCCCACTTGGCAGTCAACCAAATTAATAAAGGGGAGTGCTCCATATTTCTGTGGGGGTTTTGGAATAGTCATCTGAAATATGAACGATAAATGAAATATAGCAAATATCCAAGTGAAATAGCCATCTTGAAAATCATTTGGTGCAGTTCACAGCCCTGCTATTCTTAAGACCTAAATCCCTCTAGTCTCTGAGCTTCACGACCGCGAAGATGGGAAGACTATTTCGGAAAAGTATTTCAAGGTTACCACGGCATCCATGACGTCAGAATAACGTCATTCAACAGTAGCCATACGGCGGTCAAGGTAAATACAAATGTAATGGTCGGGTCGTTCATATTTGGTGTTCGTGAGTACGATCGACAGATATTGCGCCAGTGCCGGCCGTCAATTGGCTCTCAATAGTTGCTGTGCATGGTGCGATGACGTAATCAATGACGTATCGAGGACCGTTGTTTACTAAACGGAGATGTTGTGTTGTCTAAAGCACTCCTTTATACTTACAAATACACCAGTATTTATGAGTGAGCTTACTTCGTCATATCTGGTGCTTGCTTCAACATCTTCAAATGTGAAACATTCCCTTTCAATAAACTGAAGGACGCGAGGGAAAGAACCCATTTCTCGTCAGGGGAAGAAGCAGTCTCCCTCAGTTAAATCTAAAGAAAATACTCAGCTTTGAATGCAGTAAGGCCGCGAATGTTACTGACGTTGTCGTTGAACATCTGAAGAAGTACGACGCAGACCTCAGGGCACTGATTACGCATCTGTACGACACAACGGCTGTAAACTCTGGCTGAGTGTCGGGAGTCAAATGGAGTCTTGAGCGCGTGATGTTTTCGAGGGGAGATTGAACTAGAATGGCGGCGTCATGTTTGGGAACGGCACGCATCCCATGCTGCGACTGTGGTATTTTGACATGCTGCGGGTCCATCCAGATCACTGTGCAAAAAGTTCAAGGGGCGCGGCCCGCTGAACAAGACTCATCCAAGGCGATGCGGTGGATGAGATTTGAACTCGGCCTTCCTGTAAGAAAAACATCGGCAAACATTTTTTCATGGGCCACAGAGCATCTGATACAAGTTGCATTATTCAGAAGGGATCAAAAGCTCAACGAGCTCTTCGTGGCGTGCCTGGAGGCTGACGTACCTGGTGACCTGAAGCTTCGCAGACCTGGTGCGACCTGGCTCTCGCAGTCGCGCCCTGCGCGCCCTGCGAGGAAGCTGACGTACCTGGTGGCCTGAAGCTTCGCAGACCTGGTGCGACCTGGCTCTCGTAGTCGCACTCTGCGCGCCCTGTGACCCGATTGCAAGTCTTACTTCCGTAAAAAATAAACTAGAAACCCATGCCCGTGCTCTGTCAATCGACAATTTGACCCGACACCACTATACAAGGAGAGCTCGAAGACAACCTGGCGCGGAATGGCAGAGATACGGTATGGTCACGCTAAATAAAAGACCTGCAGCTGTAAGGCAAATCAGTGTACCGTGCAGACCGAGTCCTAAGACCACCGTCCGTGATGTGCGGTTTCACTATCAAAAAAGCCGACAGGAGCACGTAACCACTTGTCGGCATCATATCCTGCGAGGGCAGCGTTGATCAGGAACGTCATGTCGCGTTGTTCGTTTGTGTTAACATATGTATACTTCACAAGCGAGCTGAAGAAGCCAGCTCGTTTAGCGACGTGTTAAGGACAGCGGCGGTGTTGAATGATCGTGGTCACCGAATGCAGGCGGCTGGATAGCGCACTTTTAGTTTGGGTACTTGCGCACTATAGGCAATAACAAACAACAAAAACACCGACGGGTTTTAGAGGTGATCCATCGTTGACATCGAGGCAGAGATGAAGACGGACACCGACGTGCGTACGGGACAGAAGCGATGTTGTGGTTGGTGGGTGCAGTAGGGTAGAGTGACAGTAGCGTGGCATATGTCTTTCTTTAGTTAAGTGCACATGGACGAGAGCGATCGTGCCCTGTTGAATTTTTGGGAAGTTTTGTTAAGTACGAGTGGACCGGAGCAGCATTGCCCTGATGAATACATCCATTAGGTCACAGCTGGTGGGGAGTTTGGTAGGTAGTTTGGTATGTAGCAAAGTTACCTACGTACAAGTAGGTTAGTAACCACGACCAGATGGATGCCTTTTTGCAGTTGGAAAGGATTACTGCGATTGCTTGACAATACCCACATGAAGTGCATCGAATGATTTCTAAAAGGGCCTTGTTCATCGTCCTGCATGAGATAGCAAAGGACTTGAGAAGCAATATGTGGCAAACAGAGAGCCCCAAAGAACACCGCAGAGTTTTACCGAAATTACAAAAGAAAGCAGCTTAATTTAAGCTCAGCAGATATTTGACATATAAAGGGCAGTAAAGGCGTACCCGAAGAGGTTCGGATAAAACGTTCTACGTCACGCGAGAGCATCGGAACGTTTTTATAACCATACATTTTAGACGACTCTCCTTGGACTCGTATAAATAATTCTTATAAATATAATAAAAATATAACTCGCATAAATAACTCGCATAAATAACGATCAGCAGGCACCTTTTTAATCAAGCTCTTTTTCCAATGAAGGCACTGACCCGGAAGGTCCGGAGAAGTTTCGCATGCGCATTAGCACGGCGACCGCCAGCGGGGAATGTGAACGGTCTCAAGACATTCGAAGCACACATAAGACACCCTCTGTTTTGACCCTCCAGCCGTCGGCCGGTGGTGTCGCCCCTGCATGTGTACTACTACGCACCGCACTGACGTCATCACCAGAGCGCCGTGCGCAGCGTGACGTCAACGTCCCGATCAATGGCTGGCATGCCCAGGATAGCGCGCAGAGCGAGCCGTTCTCCCAACGGTCTCTAATCTGAGGGTTCCGGCGCCAAAATACCCGGAGCTTGGTGAAAGCAGGCTGGAGGGGATACCAGATCTATGGAGCACATATGGAGATGTCGGGAGAGATGCAACACCAAATCTCAAGCATCCGCGTGGGGCCGTGAGACGTGGCCGTCCTCCCAAAAATGTGGATCGGATTTGCGACATCTGTGACAACACCTATGACTTCGTTCGGTTGGCAGGTGGTATCGAACGCGTTGTTATGCTTGGATGAAAGCCCCGGGCAAAACAACACATCATCGAAATGTGTGACCGCTAGAGGTAGGGCCAACCGTCATTTGACTTCAACTTGACTTGACTTTGACTGACGGAAGGTCGAAATCCAGGACGCCCTTGTACTCAGGATACTTATTTTTTGGCTTTTGAACCCTAAATATGTTTTGCAAATTGCTTTACTTGATCAGCATGAGGTCAGTCACCCACAGGTCATCATATATCGTGAGGCCATGGGTAAATAGGGAACAGATAGTCGAACTGCAGCTGGATTATTTTCAGACTGATGGCGTCTTTAGTCCAGAGTTCAGGAATGCTGAAAAGCACTCGGATCATCGAGTACTTACATGGTCAAGGAGTTCGGTTGGCTAAACGACCTTTGACGACCCATCCGTATCCTGTTAGTGAGTAGATCTTGGAACACTTTCGACACTCTTTCAAGGTTTGACATGGTTTGACCTAAGTTGTTGAATGTTACGAACTAGAGGTATAAAATTTTGCACCAAAGTTCACGCAGTCATACCTAATTTCTGATTTAGGTTAAATAACCCTCTTGCCGCTCGTTAGCGAGGGAGCCAATTAGCCCCAGCCGCTAACCCACCAAAGCGCCCCATATTCATTCGGCCATCTGGCCGTGTGTTAGTAAACTGGACTTGTTGGCACACGGCATTTAGGCTAAAATGGCATCAAAACAGTACCAAATGTAAAGGAATTGCCCTTGTAAGGGCAATTCCAGTTCACGATGCTCACGGTAACAGAATTTCAAGGAATTTGAAGGAATTAAAAGAGAAATGCCCCTACCTGATTTGGTATCACAAATTTTGCATAGTGAAGTGTGCGCAGCTGTTTCGAAATATATTGGCAGCCTTGTCACGCAGTGTGTAATATCGTTCCCTGCGCTACACGTAGGTGCTATGTTTGCCCTTGGGATTCATTGCGGCAATGGTTTATGACGTTTGGGAGGACTTCTTTGGTGACAACGAAGCAAAACTTCGTGGCTGTTTGATTCAAAAGTTTTACCAGTCAAGCAAAACGCTGTCATTGATTGGGAAGAGAAACTTCTGTAGTTCCCAGGGCGTGCTTTTTGTAGATTTACACTAGGGTAGACAGAATTGAAAGCGATGGAGGGTCGAGACGCGCATTTACCAGCCCATGATGAGGTAAGTGGGATTGTGTTTCGTATTTTGTTGGGTTAGTTGTTCAGGTAATATAAGATGTTAGGTTTGTGGATTCTTCTGTAGCAATGCATTAGCTCCTTTTGTGGCAAATTGCCAGTTATTACTGACAATACATCCAACTGGCAAGGTTCCCACCCACTGAAAAATTATATTGGTAAGGGCCCGCTCATGCATACCCTGCACTAAACACCCCACCATACTCACTACCAGCATACATGTGTGCTGGCATCCACATCACCCCACCCATTCTTGACTTGCCCGCAATTTGAACTCCCCCCTTTTACCAATACCTTGGCATTATAATTGGCTTGCCTTTGTGGACCCTTGTTGAGGGAAATTAAACAAACTTATCACATCCTGAACCTTCCATAAAGTCACAACTAAGCCATGTTTAAAGTGTATCATGTACAGTTGTCAGCTTGGCACCAACACAGCTTAGGGGATACTTTTATATAAATAGTAATTTGCAACTAAAATACCAGCTAGATTACTCGCATATTGGGTCTTTTGTGAATCTATGCATCAGTGATTTATAAATGTGTGCTAAAGGGTTGACATGATATCAGACAGTTTTTGATTTCATGAATAAGTATTTGCTCCAATAATTGGCATTTGGCATTGGTCTTTTAAATTTGTCTGACTCATGTTTGGTTGATGCAGTGGTGAGGATATGCAATGGTGTAGATTGACAATATTATTCATTCCGCACTTGTGTGGGCAACACCATGCCTATGCTTATCTTGTGCACTCAAGATATGCTATAGGCTTGGTCATTTATTGTATTGCAACATATGGCCAGTGTTTAAATTGTACCATATCTGTACAGCAACCAGCATATCTGTTTGGTTAAAATGGGGCATGCATTATTCCTGCATTTCCTGCTTATCACACTCTTAAGTTTGTGTGCCCCTCAGATTTTCATTGAAACAGTGAGCATATAAAAAATTGAGGCCTTGTCTCCATTAACTGAGATTGTAGTTATATTCTGATGTATGTTCAATGTAATAAGGTGTGATTGAGAATGCCAAAAATGTTGCTGAAAAGAACTTGATGTGCATACAGAAATGTCCTATAGCTGGAATGATTGCCTGCAGGCATACTTGACTAAATCATTTTTGTTCCCTGCTTGTTGTTGAAAAGTGATGCCAGGTTGTAGTCATATGGTGGTGACAAATAGTAGATATCAGCATATCTTACACAGTGCTGGCTTTTGAAGGGCAAAGCATGTACTTGCAGTTCATACTTTGTGTGATTCCAAAAAAGTGATGTACTGGAATTAGGCATGCCTGCCCTGATGAGACAGTGCTTCTTTTGGTGCAAGGCTAACAAATTTTCAATTGTGGCATTTGCATCTTCTCAGTGGTTTGTGTATGCATTTCCCATCATTCCAAAGTTCAGACACCTATTGCATGTGCCCTTAATGCATATCGGCATAGCATTCTGGCTCATATAATGAAACACTGCTAATGTTTTTTCAGCATAGGGAGTACAAAATCAGAATAAATTAGAGCTGTGCTCACAGTCAATTCTTGAGCTTAAATTACTGCCTATGTGTGAGCAATCCATACAGCCTTAGAATAATTTCTGGATGACATTGTTAAGGGCAGCATTTAGTTTCTGACATATTTGGAAGCAGCATTCACTAGCTCTGTTCAGCTGCTTCTCCTGTTGAAGTCAGTCCCACTTTTGCATGCAAAGTAGATCATTTGATGAGCATGACCCACTGACCCCAGCTTAATGAAATCATTGCCCTTGTGCAATGTGCTTGCTCTATCCATGATCCACTCCTATTCTTTACCCCTTGTCATATCCTCCACCTGCTTCTGTTTTGTTCTGTGTATTTTCTGTGACATACTGTTTATCCTTGTAAAATATATCTAGCTTGTGTTACAGTATAAGACAACATGGATGCTGGCCTTGCTCACACGTGTCATTTTTCAGCCGTGCTCCAGGTGGGCGTACATGCCCCAGGAGTTGCTAGCGCAGGTTAGTGCCCACGCTGTCTATGTACGCGCCTTTGGCTGGCAGGCGTTTTTGAGATATGCGCCTGCAGTCCTGTTTGAATATCTTTTGTAACAATTGTTTGTTCAAAATTTAGTGACAGTTTATTACTTTTGCATGTGTCTGTGTTTATAATGTGCTTGTTTGTTAAATATAACTTTGATCTTTTTCCGATGGGTATTTGCGATTGAACCATCTTCCATGTTAATAATGTGTTGGTTTAGTACGTACAAGTGGCGATCTTTTTTTGATTGATCTTTACATTTCAATTTTACCGGTAAGTCTTAGCACTGATTCTGTCCCTAATTTAAAACCGAAATTATCGGTCCGATTTTCATCAGCGATTCAGTAATTGATTCGCCATAACGAGGGCTGCATTTTTAACAAGCCATGTGGAACTTATTTTAAAGGGAATGGTTACAGTAGGAACAGTAGTGTTTTCAGTCGCTGTCGCTGCCGCCGTGCTTGTGGCACAATTAACTGAAAACTAACATGGTTCAATAGATACTGTAAGCGTGTTGCATATGCTATGGGTTATTTAGAAGCACAAAATGCTGGATGCATCCGGTCAGTGCAAAAGGGATCTTGAAGAAAAAAAAAACAATGCAGAAATTGCAGTGTAACGTCTTGATATAACAACATAGAATGATAATGTGGCGTGCTCCACACGATTTTATTGCATCTTATTGCACATATACAACATTTGAATGCATTTCACATGTCCATAGTTTTATTACATATATTATGTGCACAGACTGTTGCCATGAATATGGTCGCAAAGGCGAAAAGGTTGCCACGGGGCGTGGCGCGGCCTGTCGAACGGGACCATTTTTGTCTGCTGCGTGCTGGTTGGTGATCCAGATAAATGATTTTACTATGTTTTGATATATTGTATAACACGTAGATGTTGTGATCGAAGCCAGGAATGCAATTCTAGCGGCAACAATAACACAGGAAATGAGTTACGTTTGTTGTTGCATTACCACATGGGCGTCCTACGTACACGTTATCTTTGTTCCATCGTGTGCGTGTGTGTTAGAGGCTTAGCCGGGGTATAAACAAGGGTGGTCGAGACAAGCCCTGACCTATCGAGGGTGTTTAGATAGGGAACTCCATCTATACAATGCAGAGAGTTCAACCATTTTCATTCCTCGCTTACCTTCCCTGGAACCACCGCTGCTCAAAATGCTAAAAATGACTCGCACGTACTACAAACGCAAACCCTGTGAGGTCAAACATTATTGATGCTCTAGTAGGCCAACTAACGGTTAACTATTTGGCCCAATCATGGCATATCACCCCAGTTGTCGTACTTTGGTATGCCCGTGGCACTATCACGTGGCCACTATATTTGAATCTGTACAGAAGACGATTAATGTGATCAGAGGCTGTACGCAGCAGTTATATCACTGGTGTGGTGCCGCGGTATCCTCGTTGTTTCGCAGGCCACTGTTGTGGCTGTACTGAAGCCGTTTGCTTAAATTGTACGTTTAACAGGTGTTGGTACATACCGTGTACACATGCACGTTCTAATTCAACCTGGAAAGATCTTAAGCTCACCCGTGACCTATTCCTGGCGAGCTCCCCGATACCCCTTTTCCAGGCGTGTGTGTGTGTTTGTGGGGGGGGGGGGGGGGGGTGAGACATTTGCCCCGCCCCTAATATCTGGAGTACTTATTGGTCAATTGGGAAAGCGAAGCAGCGTTTGATCTCTCACGACATCCATGTTTCTGAAAATAAATGGTCTATAAGAATTTGTAATATGAGACAACAGCGGGATTTAGCTTAAGCTTTAAGGTATTTTTGATCAGACATTTGTTACGTGTATCAATCGATTGCATCGCAACCATCGCAGCTCGATAAATAATACTTTGAAATTGATATGATTTGATGAAGTTTGAAAAGCTCAAAATTTGAAATTCAGTAGCGTATCAAGCAGGTTTAAAACAAAATGGTCTGAAAAGTTCCAAAACGTCCAAGAGTGGGCCCAAAAAGTGATGGCAATAATTGTATTACTGGGTTTGCAATTAGGTCATCGCGGAGGAAATGGGATGACACTGCTGTATTGTCAGACTAGCAGGTAATGACAACCATTTTGGCACAGGTGAAACAGGGTAACCTACTGGGTTGGTGAAACTAAGAGGTTGAATGAGCAGTGGGTGGTATTCTTCATCGTAACACTGCTATACGCCGTAAATAAGACAAAGTAATTACAGCATGTATGGACGGGTGCTACAGGCGCTTCCAGTTTTGCAGGGGGAAGGACTGGGACGACGTGATTGGAGCGTAACACATTTCTGCAGTTGTCAGCTGACGCCGCGCCCTTGATGACTAACATCCATTTACTACAAATAATTTCTTTCGTCCTCTTTTGGCGTCCCTGTGCTCGTCTTTGGCACAGCTTTTGGATGTTGTTATTGCACGAAAGTGCACGATCTAATGTATCGTTCCAGTTTAGGCCATCGCGTCTCATATGTTACGAGCTCTCGTCCATTCTCGCATCACTTGAGAAATCTCTGCACAGAAATGCTTATTGAGCTTTCGCCATCTTTACTTGTGCGCACATGTTTCGTGTGCTGCCCGTTTATAGCAACGTAGGACTATCATATTTTTTCACGCCATGTCTTCTTGCCTGATGTACCCCGTTCGCGAAACGTACTCACACCTCTTTAAATACTGTTACTATGTTGTCTGAAAAGAGAGGATTTGGACCCGGATACCGGAAAGCATCTCTTACATACTTTTATTGGCAACCCGTAATACTTCCCATTAGGTACAGACACCCCCTTTTGTTAGCCCTAGAACCGCCTCTGTCGTGCCACTTTGCTGGATGGCAATAACTGAATCCATGTCGCAACAGTCTTATTCACCAGAATCATCAGCTTCTTGTGTTAACACAAGACAATGCCTGTCATTTCGGGGAGATTAACATCATGACATGACCACCGAACTTATTAAGGGTCCGCCCCAATACTGGGTCCTGGAAACGCCCCTGCACATGCCATGCTCTCGAGTTTTTTACATAGCGCGTACAAAAAGATATCGAGGAAAAGGCAGCAAATTTCGACGAATCGCCCCAAATCATTTCGGAGGCACGAGCAAGAAAGAAACACGAGATGGGGTGGGGGAGGGAAGGGGCGAAATCCACCTCTACCCCACTCGAATACGGTTAAGACTTGACAGTCATTCGTGTTTGATATGTGACAGTATCATCGGCTAAGTCGACATCAGCTTGGAGACTCTGCTAACTGTGTACTTTGCCCTTTATGGTTCATTTAAGAGAAACCGACAATAACAACTTTCATCAAAAACCTACTTCACACGCACAGGAACACTGGAAAATTCGGCAGATGCCTGTAGTAACAAGAGCTCGTCACGTGGCCCCGATTTTCCACAGCCCCGCCTTGCACAACTTTGAGACGGACGTTATTTCTCGATAACCTGGCTTTGTAGCAAGAGGAGACCCTTAGGCCATGCGTGACAAAGACTTTAAATTTCGCCAGCGCGCAATTTCTTATTAATTGCTGAACAGTTTGAGGGTGTCGTGGATCACCCGACGTGAGCACCTACACCCTTTTTCACGTGCCACGTACACCGACGAGGCTCTCGCCCCGTGGTACCGCAGTGTTGACTACCCCCCCCCCCGCCCCTCCCCCTGTCCCTGCCCCGTTACCCTCCCGGTGGAGTTTTATACGATGGTGCGGCGGTGGGGAGTTTTTATCCTATGACCCCAGGTTCGTCACGAGCGCCCCGCGGTTCCTTAACATGCCAGACCGTTAGAGGCGGCCCACCAGTCTGCCAGCTAACGGGCGCTATGTCGGCATGAGAGCTCCGTGACGAGATCGCTGAGCTAATCCGACGGGGACGTGGTGGCCGGCAGATCTTCTCCCATCTCGAGGTGGACTGTATTGGCCAGGCGGCGCAGGTTTGCCGCGTCTGGGCCTCGGCAGCGCTGGACACCTTCCTCTGGAAACACAAGTTCATCCAGGACTTTGATCTGGATCCATCCACCTGCCACCTGCCCAAGGCGACGAAATCCAGTGAGGACGAGGATTCGGGGTCCACCAATGATTTGGGCTCTTTTATGCACGTATTCCGTTCTGTGCATGTATGCTGCGTAT